AAAAMYWWTTTTTTTTAGAACGAGTSGAGGAAGACTAATTTCTACAAACTTGGTAAAAGAAAAATGAGTACCAATTATTAACCAAAAAGAAAGATAACTTTTATATTTTAGAAAAGTGATAAAGTTGTCAGTTTATTTGGTAGTGAGTACCTTTTGATAGTCAATATTATTGAAAAAGTAATATTCTCCTTATAAAACGATATGACAATAAACATTGTCGGTGATATTATTAGAGTGAAAGCTTCATTATTACCTATATCTGCTTAAAATATGACACAACATAACTCTTAAAGATTTTAAAGAAAAGTCTGAAATTTAATATTTGTAATATCTCATCCAACTTAACTTCAAAATAATGGGTATTGGAAAAAAAAAATACTCGAGTCCTTAATAACCGGTTGCACAATTGTTTTTGTTTTTGTTCTACGGAACTCAAGTCCGAAATAGGTCTTACTTGGATTCATACTTGCTCCATAAATTCTCCATCAATAATGGTAATAATCGTTTCATATTGTATGTTTAGAAAGTAACGACATGAAATTATTTTTTTTCTATAGCTTAGCTATTATTGCTAAACTATGCTCCTTTCATTTAAATTTTAAATTTTAGTTTGATTTTTAAATTTTTTTGTTTTTTCAATGTTTTATTCTTGTGATTTGTTTGACTTCAAAATTTCACTCAATCCTATTATAGAAAGTAATATAAATTCCATTAATTTATTTTAGGACGACTATTCAATTTTGATATTACTTTGAGTATATGTTTATAAGTTGTGGTGATGTAAGATTTTGGACGAGGTAAAGAGTTGGATACTGATCCAAGGTGGATATCCAATCAACCAAAATGATGACCTACAAATAAAAGTTTACACCTTGCACTAGTGTGGTACTCATCACGTGTATGTAGAAACGTTGATTTAGTTAAATTGTGCTAGTGTCAAACTGAATGTAGTTAAATTGCATATAAATTACATCATTGGAGAGGAATGAATCTCACCTTCTAGAGGAAGATTGGGAAACGTTGATTTAACATGTGGCGTTTCGTATCAAGTGTTAAGTGAGTTTTTACCAATGACATCTGTATTTTCATTCGGTGCTCAATATATTCAAACTACGGTCCTCGAATGAAAAGACCACATGACAGGTTCTGATTCCACTATAACAAGTTGAAACCAATCTTAACCTCTTTTACAAAGATTTGATCTCCATCACAACTACACAAATAAATTCCTATAACAAATTCTACTCTCTGCTACACTTAACATCAACAAAACACTTCATTATAACCATTATAGTTTGCTCCACAAAATAATAGAGCAAAAATTATTCAGACAGAGATTTTAAATCCTAGAACTTATGGGCCGACCAAAACCAAGGCCCAAAATGGTTGCCAGAGTCATTTTCCTTCTCCGTAGGATTGCCAACATCTGCAACTGTCCCATACTGAGTTGTCTTTTACTGGGCCTAGGCCCATACAGATCGGAAAACAAAAATTTTCATTATTAACTTCTTTTTTATACGCGCGAAAGCAAATATGGTTAATTATTATATATCTCCAACCAAGACATTGTGTGTTCGATCTCCTAACTTCTCTCATATTGTACTAAAAAAACTCCTTTTATACACCACATTCCCTTTCATCCCTGATGACAACTCGACGAACTCAACCCATGGGTTGGGTTGGGTCTCGGGTTCAACCTTTAAAAAATCGGGTCAACCCAATCCAACTCAAATTTATGCATATATCCTCTACCATTTTGTATCTTAATCTCATTCGTCCATGTAGTTTTAACTCCCGATCACCGCGATAGTTAAAAAAAAAAAAACACAACCCGACAACCCAACCCAAGGTTTGGGTAGTTTGGTTGACCATCCAATTCAAACTTGATGGTTCTTATATTTGTCCACCCGAAAATTCAAGTTGGTCCCAAAATCCCTCCTAATCCGATCCAACCCAACTCGGAACGTCTCTAAAAGAGAGAACTTTTATATAATATAGCTCAAATTATAACTAATAATTAAAATATTATAATTTGCAAACTACTTCTGAAAATAATGTATTTTTTATTCGTGTGCTCCTAGTTTGTGTATCTTGAGACAACCTAGGTTACTTCAATAGGAGGGACAATAGTACATATAGGATTTGTAACGTGATTTTTTTAATCCTTATGTGTGTGGAAGAGATGGCATGCAACAAATTTAATTAAAAATAAATAAAAAAAAATCTTTGGGAGGTTTGGGTTTCCACCTAACAATGGAGAAAAATAAATCACAATTAAAAATGGGCGTAAAGACAGCAGATGAGGGGAAGGGAAAGACTGAATAGCACACCGAAAGACAAATAAAACTCACCGTAAATCATTTTTCTATTCTTCCTATTTTAAACGCCAACTGAAAAAAAAAATCTTTATTTTTCCTTTCAATCTTGAATTGAGGTTAGGATATGGGTTCGTCGTTTGGATCCCTATAATTGAGATCCCTATAATTGAGAGATGTCAACAGCCACCCAACACTCTAACTGATGTTGTGGGACTCGTCTCCAAATGGGAGAGGGGAGAAGAAGTCCCGACTACGCGCCTCACAGGACTTGGACCGGAGAGGGGTATTCCCATCCGATCACAAGCCTACTACTCCACCACCTGCTAGTGGTAAAATTGATTCATGATATGACACTTTTGTTAGTACAGTAAATGTGAGGTGGGGATTTATCTAAAAAAAAATAACATTGTCTTAACTGTTAAATTATACTTATTTTGACACTAAATTTTTTTTGTTAGTACAATTTGTTGGGGAGGGGATTCGAACTCACAACCTAAGTTAACGTGACACTGGAAGATTTAGAGATGAAATTAAGACTTTAAATTTATAAAGATAAAGTTGCAATAAGTGTTAAAAGTATGGTAATACAAACTAGAAAGTTTAGGCATTAGAAGTATCATTTAATCTTTACCTATTCTCCTTGCAAGTCCCTCGTCGGTCAATGATGCATAAACTGTTTTGTTATTTTTATGTTTATTTTTTTATTTAAGAAATATGTAATTTTTTCCATTAACTTAAACCTTTTAATATATATATATATATGTAATAAGGATAAGATAATTGAGAATATAGATTAATGTAGTCATCAATCTAATTAAATGATTATATATATATATATAGAGTGTCATCTTTGTACCTGAGGTGGTTACTTGTTTAGTCGAGCTACACAGAACCTTGTACTAGTGTGGTGTTCGGAAACCTACCCTCCAAAAATTAAAATAGAACTTATGGTCTGAGTTAGTGTCGAGTCGAACTGGGTTATATTGTTTAGAAATTACGCACTTTAGAAGAATGGAATACATTTTATATGAGCGCTTTCAGAAGTTGTGACTCTATTTTGGTGCTCTGTATCCAGTGCCAACATATTTTCTTCTGATGATATCCGCTCTTTTCCAATTGGTTTCAAGTCAATTTCATCGGATTGGCCATAGGTGACTTGACTTTGTCTCACTGTGTCCTCAGCATGTCCAAACTAAGGCCCATGTCCTTCAAATAAATAGTCCACGATGTAAGCTTTGGACCAACCTATAACATAATATATGTTTTTGTTGTATTTTAGTTGAGGTAGTTAAGAACTATGCAGATATATATTATATCACATCAATAATTATTTTCCAAAACTTTTTCAAATATATTATATAAGTTAACTCTTTAACCAAAAAAACCATAAATAAAAAACAAGTAGGGTCATAAGTTTTAAAAAACGACAACGAAAATCTAACCAAAATGTCAAAACCTAAAACCACAAAGGAAAAAAAAAAATGACCAAACAAATATCTTATACAACTTATTGTTGCTAGAAGGGGAAAAGAAAAAAAGCTTAATTGTATTGTATATCATTTTTCCAATGATAGAGACGTAGACACTTTTTTTATAAGCTAACTTATTAGCCCACTAGTTCACACGTACAATAAAAATTTAATAAGAAAAGACCCAAATGAAATATAATAAAGTAAAAAGTTGATAAAGCAAAATAAAACTTAGACTCCACTTGATATTAATTTATAAGACCTTCAAAATGACTATGAGAGATTTTTAATTCTTTTCATTTGATAAACTAACTATCTAATTACATCTTCGATTAACAAAAATTAATTTACTTAATATTACATAAAAATTTCTAAAAATACAATTGTCACTACAACAATCTCAAACTAAATATGAAACCCATCATTTTCAAAAAATTATGAATTATAAACTATAAGGTTACGGTATATAACCACATATTATATATTTGCATAAAGTAAAAATATATCTCAAGCATCAGCTATTGCTTTACTTATGATAACCACAAAGTGCTGGCCTTGGGAGGGCAGGGGTATGAAAAAGAAAGCCCTTTTTGTCTTTTAATTCAATCACATTAGGCAGTGACGTCACCCTAAATAATTGCAATTACTATATACTATAACAAAATATATATATATATTAATTAAAATATTGTCTAAGCCAATTAAGCAATAAAATTGGGTAATTCAATAATTAATTAGCGATCGGACGTTGGAGAGTGACATGGTGTGTTTTCGGTAACTCCATTACTAACCTTATATGATTTTTTTATCTCTAAGTTTTTGGATTTTATTTCATATTTTAATAATAATAATTTTTGAGTTTACATTATCATACATGCGGCTAGTGTTCTACAGTACGGTTGCACAGTGTTTTACAATATGATCGCGTAGCCAATAATTTATGCTGAAATTATTAATTAAGTTCTAAATATGAAATATTTACTTTAGTTGAACTTAAATCCGGCACAATTTTTTTTTGTTTGTTTTCCATTGTAGAAAACAAATAAATTCCAAACTGTAGTTTAATCCATCTCAACCCACAAAGTATGGATGCCTAATTCTTTTAATTTTAGCATACCATTCTTATTCTTTTATCTTTCAAGTGACAACTCATTCAAATGGTAGTGCTCTAAAAAAAATATTGATTTTCTTAAGATACAATAATATAAAACAAACATATTTATATTTGATTCTAAGTAAAAGAAAAAAAAATTCAAATATTCAAACACCCAAATCTTAGTGTCTTAAATGACTCAATTTAAACATCACATAAATATTTTCCCCAAAAATTAATATGAAACTAAAATAAAAGTACGAAAGTTGACTTTTATTGATAGATTGTGACGAAAGAAAACTAAGGAAATTTATTGAAAGATTAAAATATATGTTCATATATATATATTATATTTATTATATTTGCCAATTATGTGGAGGGAAGGATTTTGTACATTCATTAACAGGGTCCACCACCCAGCATAATTGAAAGGGTAATATTGTCCAACTAATTTAAGCACCGACAGCTGTCGCTACAAGAACAGAATCAACTTCGCTTCGGCTGCGATTGATCATTTCATCGTCATCGTCTGATTCTACGCTCACCCAAATCTCTGGAATTGCTTGCGCTAGATTATGTACCGTCTCCATAGCGTAATCCGCCTCCTTGCTCTTCACTGCCTTCCCCACCTTCAATTAAACGACACCGTATAAATTACATTAAAAAAATAAATAAATACTCCATTTAATGATTTTATATTTTACCCTTCTAATTTATCGGGTGGATGAGAAATTCTTTTAATACCATTATTTTCAAATGCTACTGCATGTAAATAATAAATATAGATAATATATACTCTGTTTCTTAAATAATTATTTAATTTGGTTGGTAGGAGTAGTATTGGTTCTACTGTAATGTAGAAATTTTTTTTCCCACTGGCATAAAGTACTTTTGGGATAATGAATTAGGAGACGACATGTGTCATTTTAAAGATTTGTTTTTCTCCCATTAATCGGATATATTCACTTTTCCACTCTAACAACTTCTTAATCACTTGTTAATTAAAATGATTTACACGTGATTATCAAAGTAGTAATAAATTCAAAGGTTAATTGAACATATTCTTGTTAATTATTTATTCTAAATAATAATAAACAAAAAAAATAAACAATGGTTAATACAAAAAGGGAAAGGAAATTACCAAAACGGTGCGGAGACCAATTGCTTTTCCAGCAGCAATGTTCCGAATGCTGTCCTCGAAAAATAGCTGAAAACAATAACAATAAAGCAATTTAATAAACCATGGACCAAAATTCATGTTAAAATACTATTTTAATTCACATGCTTCAAGATTTATTTTATTTTAGTTAGGATAATTGCAATAAATTTTAAAAATAGTTATCTAAGACATCGAAAACTTATTATACAAAAACTTTTTCCTTTTTTCTTTTAAAAAATTAGTTGAAGGAGAAAATTAAAAATTATCAAATTGTAATTGGTAGTCCGCATGTGTTAATCAATCAATATCTAAGTTTTATTTGAAAAATAATAATTTATCCAAATACTAAGAATTCTCTCACCACCGACCAGACATTAAAAAAAATACATAAATATCATAATCTCTGGTTATAAATCATCATGTCTATCAGTGTCGGACTTCATTATTGCTTACTTAAATTTTGGTGGTGAACATATTTTTCAAATTAAAAAAAAGTATAAATTTTAATATTTGTATTATCTCATTAATATTAACTTCAAAATAATAGATATTAAAAGAAAGATATCTTGCAGCAAAAAAATTAACAATTCATTCATTTTTATAAAAAGTTTTTGTTACTTCTTTGGTCAAATATTTAATAAGATTTCTCTGTTCAAAATATACATTTCTGTATTTTCATGGATTCGAATGAGAAATTGGCATTTTTATTACAATATAAAAGAATCAATAAAATATGAGAATTATGATAATGTGACTAATATATACCTAATATTAATATTAATTATTTCTTAATTTATTTGAAAATATGAAAATATTTATTTATTAATTTAAATATTTTAAAAATTTAAAATTTTTATATTTTTATGGAATTAAGAACTCCAACTTTGTCTACGTTTCCACGTTTAAAAGCTGCTAAGGAAAATAAAAACCGGTAGATGGAAAGGACGAACGTACCGTACGAGCAGGGTCAACGTCGGCGACGTCAAGAGCGATTCTGAAGGCGTCCATGGACGGCTTGAGAAGGACCGGGAACTCGCTGGGGAAACTGGCCTTATCGAGGTTCGGGTTCATCGTCTCGAAGCATATGATCTTCTCGAAGCAACCCTCCAGCCCCAGCCGCCCCAACACTTCTCCGGCGTGCTTCCTGTCGGAATTTGTGAATATCTGCCGGACATTTTTCCGACGAACCGTTACTTAAACATCACTGTTTCCGGAAAAAAGAAAAAAGAAAACGACAAAGAGTAAAAGAACTCACGATTTTTCTCTGGGGAATGGTCAGCAAGAGACGCCGCAGCTGAAAGTCCGGTTTGATCCGGTCGTACGGCAGCCTCCCGTGCACGAAACTGCAAATTAAAAAACCCAACAAAAACCAACACGTCACTTTTTCGAAACAGAGGATTGATTTTTTTAAAAAAGAAAACAGAGTTGGTAATTGGTTACCTGTGGTAGTCATCGGCGTGGATGTCGTAGCCCAATGCCTGCACATCGAATCAAGAAACCAAATAATTAATCAGCCCATCCGATTATTGTTTAATTAATTACGAGGGATGAATGTTAATTACTCGCAAACCGGCGAGGGTGCTGCCGTAGGTTTTGAAGAGCTCGGTCCGGAGAATCGGGGCTTGGGTTTTGGGGAATCCGCATTCCTCCACCAGAAAATCTGTAACAAAAAGTAAAAAAAAAAACCCAAAACCACCACTTAGAAACTTAACTTCAAATTGTTAAAAATGGTGGATATATATATATTTTTTGAAGTAAAAAACCTTCGATGTTTTTCTTGCAGGCAGTGGCGATCCCGGTGTTGAAGGGGTAGAGGGTGTCGTCCAAGTCTGAAGAAAACAGAGTAATTGATCAGAATAATGCAAAAAATGTTGCAAATAATGAAGATTAAGAAGAAAAAAATACCGAAAATTAGGCAGTGGAGAGAAGAAGCCATGGGAGAAGGAAGAGAGAAAAACAGAGGATTTTGGGAAATCGAAGTTTAGAGAGCAACAGAGCGAAGATGAGAAGGGGGGAGTGGGGGCATTATATAGGGAAGCGCGTGAGGGAAACGCGCTTGGATAAATATGGGTGAACATGCTGAGTCAGATTCCTAATTTTTTTAAAATTTATTATAATTCCAAATCCTAATCCCACATGGAATTGGAAGTGGAGAAACTAGAAAGGAATTAGGGAGCGGGGCCCACCCGAACCGAACCACGCGGTTTGGTCTGGGAAGGACGAGACGAACCTACGCCGTTTTGGAGCACGTGTCCAACTCACAATTCACCCACCAACCAACCCACACCGCGTGTTTCGTTTTCCATTGCATTTTGATTGGACTCTTCTGCCCTCCGCTTTTTATTTTCTTTTTGTATGAAAGTGAAAAATAGTCAATTGGTTATATTTTTTATTTGTTTTTGTAAGGACAATATATTTCTATTTCTGTACCAAAAATTGATTCACTTAATTAAAATTGTTTACGTGAATGAACGTGATACTGGTACGGAAATCCAGAGATGAAGTTAAGACTTTTAAATTTATAAAGATAAAGTTGCAATAAGTGTGAAAGTATAGTAATACACACTACAAAATTTAGAAATTAAAAAGTACCATTTAATCTTACTTCAGGGCGTAAACTGTCTTGTTATTTTTATGTTTTTTTTTTATTTAAGAAATATGTAAACTTAGATTAATTTACTTATTCATATATATATTGGAGGGAGGATTCTAGACCAGGTGTCCTATCATCTTCCTATTTATACACAAAACCTTGTATTGGTGTAGTGCTACTCAGGTACGATCCAAAATTTAAAATAGAATTTAGTTTGAATCGGTGTCTATTCGAATTTGGTTATATTACTTAAAAACTATGCACCTTTAAAAAGGAGGGACTACGCTTTTATAGGGGAGCTTTGGGGGCATGACTCTCCTATTCTAGTGCCTCATATTTCGTGTCAGCATATTTTCTCTCGATGGTATTCACTTTTTCCTTCTTGGTATCGATCCACTTTTGTCGAATTGGYCATAGGCAATTTGACTTGTCTCACTTCGTTCTCAACTTATCCAAACTAAAGACCCTTGCTCTCAAGTAAATGGTCCACGTTGTAAGCTTTGGGCTCACGTATAACAAAATATATGTTTTTTGTTGTATTTTAGTTGAAATTGTTAAGAAGTATTTATTTTTTTCAACTTTTTAGAACATAGTATGTAAGCTAACTCTTAACAAAAAGAAAAAAAAAATCATAACACAGATCAGTAGGGTCATTAAATTTTAAAAAACAACAACAACGAAAATCTAATAAATCTCTTATATTTTTTATGTGAGATCTTTAACATGCCTCCTCAAGATCGTAGATATCCGTTTGAGTGTTTTGGACTGTGATATTATATTAAATATTCATGAGTTCGTTCCCAAAAGATAGTTGGGGTGATTTGGGGCTTAAGGAATATCTTTGAGGTCTTAGATTCACACCACAAAGAACGCAACTCCACCAAGCAATGACTCATTGTGTATGTACAGTATTGGAGACAGTGAAAAAAAAAATCATAAATTCACCTCAAAACTAATTAACAATGAAGGAGGTAGTCCAAAATTATAAATTTTAAACGATAGCGTTGTACCATATTATATATTTGGATAAAATAAAAGAACTATCTCAAGCATCACTTATCGATAACCACAAAGTCTTTGCCTTGTGAGGACGGGAGGGGTATGAAAAAGAAACCCTTTTTTGTCTTTTAATTCAATCACACATTAGGCAGTGACGTCTTCCTAAATAATTGAAATTACTGTAACAAAAATATATATATCATTAATTAAAATATTGTCTAAGCCAATTAAGCAATAAAATTGGGTAATTCAATAATTAATAAAGTGATGGGACGTGGAGAGTGACTTGGTGTGTGTTACGTAACCCCATTACTAACCTTATGACTTTTTATCTCTAAGTTTTTGTATTTTATTTCATATTTTAATAATAATTGTTGGGTTCCCTGTCACATTATATTATCATATACGTGGCTAGTGTTTTACAATAAGATTGCATATGTATTATTAGAATGGAGTATTTCTCAATATAAAGTTAATATATATTATGTGTTTTTTTACCATTTGGGGTGATATGCATCATTTTAAATTAACAACTCTTTTGATTAGTGCATTTTATAGTTTATTTTTAGTAGCTTTTGAACTAATTTGGACCGGTTTCTTGTTTCTTGTGACTAATTTTTGTAAGGAACGTGTTTCGTAAAATTTTATTATTACTCATGGCCTAAAATTTTAAATTAAAAAAGTGTAAATTTTTTATATGAAAATTATTTCTTAAATAAAATATTCATAATTTTATGTTATACTTATTTTTAATATTTTTATGCATTTTATAAAAAAAAAATGATAGAAAAAATAAACATAGTTATGTGGTAATTTGAATTCAAATCATCACCCTTACATATTGTATTAAAAATAATATATAAGTAAAAAATGATAAAACAATACTTTTATTTAGGTAATTAAGGTAACTCCAACATCCGGCAACAAATTTCCTATCTTTGAATATTCTCCCTCATTAAATTAAAATAAAAGGAAAAAGATTCATTTTGAGATAAAATTAATATCGAACTCCTTCCTAGTTGGTTGGAGAAAATATTTGGTATGACCTCAGTTTAAATTCTATATTAGATTTTTTATTTCTTAATTTTTATACGTATTTCAAATTTTTCTTTGCGTTTTTTAATATCTTATTTCAATCTTCAACTTTCAAATGTCATATATTTTTTAATTTGTGTATAAATAAACTATTTTTGTCAATGTCGATAAATTAAATTTCCATTATATGTTTGTCCACGAAACTCTTTAATATGTTCTTAAACCCAACACCATACCTACTAATTAATTACACCAAGTTGGTTTCTAATAATTGTTCACGTACATATTTTATCATCAATAATTAAATGAAAATAATTAAATGAAAATTTGAAATCTCTAGATTCCTAAACTTCAAACATTATTTCATTATGTTGGTGCACTAAAAAAAATCATTCCATTATGATCGCTAAACTATCAACATATTTACTTTATTCTATAAAAATTTTGTTTTCATTTTCATCGTTAAGCTTTCAAAATATCTATTTAGTTTATGTACTTTAAATTATGTAATTCCTATAGTATTAAAATACCAATTAGTTATAGATAGATAATACATGAACTTGAGCATAACTCAAATTAGTTAAGACATATATCATTGATAAAAAAGATAAGATGTTTCATTATTAAAAAAAAGAAAAAAAAATGGTCAGCGGTCGTTCAAATCCCACATCCACATGATGTTGAATAAAAAAGATAGATAATTTAGTAACTTGTTAACTCAGGTATGTATCACATTTTAGTCATATAAATTGGTTAATGTAAAATATCATACATGTTGGAGGCTATTTATCGCTTGGCACGTGTCGACAGTTTGGAGGTGTTTTCCATTTGAACAAACTATAATTATTACAAGTTTCTCCGGCTTGATGTATATTGTCTGAGTTGAGCTACCAAATAACGATATTCAACCGACCTAACGAGAGAACGAGTCGAACTATTTCATGATATCCACAGGGGTGCAAATACGTCATGTCCCTCCGACAGCACGCCACATTTCACCAGTGTCGGATGACCGTTATGCCACTATCGGAGATCATCCGTATAAATAGGGATGTCTGCCTCTCATACAAGATACGTGAATCCATTCATGCTCAAGACTTTAGATCGGATAGTGACTAACTTGCTAGTCGGAGTGCTAACCTTATTTTGAAAGTTCCTCAAAAGAGTAAGAGAACGTCCCGATTGTTCTGATCTACTTGGATTCCGAAGTTGGTCGATTTTCAGATCAAACAATATAGTAGAATATTAGGTGATAAAAGACAATGACCCAATTTAGAGATTAAAAACAAATATTTATAAAGTTGATTATTTTTTAAAAGTTAGAAACTAAAATAATTTTATTATTGAAAATTCAAGAACTTCATAAAATATTTAAAATTTTGAGTATAAACTATAAAGTATGAACCTCTAGAGAGAGAAGGAGAGAGGAGAGAGAGTAGTTGGGTTGGCAGGTCAGCAACAGCAATCCAAGCATCCAACGTTATCCATATCCACCATTATTTAAATTAATATTCCTTTAAATAAATAAATTCCCCCCTTTTGTTTTTCTTTTGTGTGTCGGATATCTTACAGAATATCGGGAAAAAAAATAATAAAGTAGACCTTAATTTAATTAGCAGAAAAAGTGAGGTCAATTTTGCAATACTAGAATATATATTTTGGACAAAAAATATATATATCACGATGATTAAAATAATATTATTATAAAGCACTGATTTTTTTAATTCATACAACGATGTAGGATATATTGTTTTTTTTTTTAAAGTTAAACTAATGTGTTTAATTCCATGATGGGTGCATAAATAAATTGAAGACTAATATAAATTTTCAATATTTTTTATTTCTTGACATTTTACCAAGTAATTATTACCCTCAATTTTTTTTCGGTATAACTTTCTTCATTATATTCAAGTTATTTTTCGAAATAGCAATAATAGTTTCTTTAATAAAAAAATTGATTAAACAAAATTAAAACATGCAGCATAAAATTGTATAACCAAACTTTTTTCAAGAACATGCAACAATTAATTTTTAAATATGAAATAAAGAAAATTTCTTAAAAGGACATTTAATGTACGCAAACTTTTGTGATTTCTTTGGACGTCTATTTATAATTTGTATGAAAATGTGGCATATACGGAGGAAAAAAGAAAATCAAATGCCTTTTATTACAAATTTCTGTTTCTGGGCCGTGGGATGGGCTATGAGATGGGCCATTTCAGAGAACCCACTATTACCTAGGCAGTTGATGGGCTGGTAATTCGGTTGAAAGGTCCAAAAGCTGGTCAATTATGTTGAAGATAGGCCTTAGCTTTTGAGTGTTGTGGCAATAATTTTTTTAAATTTATTTTTAAGGTTTAAAATATTATTTTGGTCCCTCGGATTTGGTTCATCTTCTTTTAAAACGTCTATTTTGATCTCTATATTTTCAACTTTTTATGTCATTTTAATTGTTGTACTTTCGAAACGTTCGTTTTGGTCATTGTACTTTTATAAAGTGACTATTTTGGTCTTTCATCTTCATTTTTATCTCATTTATTTTTATCAAATTTTAACATAACACTTCACCCACCAAAATCTTTTAAATAGTAAAATTTGAGTTAAAATTTTACAAATAGGGACTAAAGTGGTTAATTTTTAAAATACATAGACCAAAATAGATATTAAAATGAACAAAAGTTGAAAATAAGAAAATAAAATGAATATTTTAAAAGTACAGAAGTTGAAAATATAAAAACCAAAATAGTTTTTAATTAGTTATTTACTTTGCTTTTTTTTAATTATGAAGCGGGAAATATAATTTAATTTATTAAGGATTTAATAATCTTATTGGAAACTTATAGAGAAGAATATATATTAGAATCTACTTTGCTATATTTTGTTTTAGTTCTAGTTTGTTCAAATTAATCCAAGCAAACTCATGTGAAAAAACTATAAAGTTAACACGATTCTTGGCTTATTTCAAATGACTGTTTTTTTCTTCCTCAAAAGACTCACGAATTAATGGTTTTTAGTATAATATGTAAGGATGGAGGATCGAATTCACAACCTGTTTGAGATATATATAAATTATCGCTGAACTATGTTCGTTTTAGCACACGAATTAATGAGTTGAGATTTAATTTATTAGAATTTCGATCAATTAGCAAATATTGAAATCAATGAAATCTACTGATTTCTTAACGTGGTTTATGACTTGGCTACTTATATGATCTCTACTTCGATTTTTTTTTTTGTTTATTTTTTTTAAGAATGGGGTTGGTTTAAAATATTTAAAAGATTATTTTGTATTTATTAATGAAATTAAAATTTGGAGGTTAATTTTTTATTAAATAAATTAGAAGCTTATTTGTTTATTTATTAGAGGAGAGGTCAAAATTTTAATTAATTACTTTTTCAATAAATTTATTAGATCTTATCTGCCTTACCCCATGACACTTTCCATACACAACAATTTCAATCCTCTCTAAATACCCCAAGACGTTTTTTTTGTGGTTGAGTTTTGAGTTCAATCCATTTTTATTATTTTTATTTTTTGTGCAGAATAGTTCAAATTATAAAATATTTGAATTTGGTATTGTATTACAAAAAGTATAAGCCATGATATGAGTTTTTCCACGGATTATTGATAAACCAAAAAAAAAAAAGTGATAGCACCGGAAAATTGGATCTTTTAGAGCAAGATATTCACACTTTTAACTTTTGCTGCAAATGGTTCTGCGGACTTAAAAAATGAATGGTGTAAATAAAAATGACGTAGAAGAACCTTGATTCCAAACGAATGAGACAATAAGTGAATTGGTCCCGATTACTCCTCATAATAGAATAAAAAAATAAGAGATTCTCAAAGGAAGAAAAGAATCAAATTTACTTGGAAATAATTGAACAAGGAATCATATGAGGTGTAAATCGCATGCACGATTATGTAAAGTGCCTTGTATAGGATTGGAAAATAGTAACTAAGACGCTAACTTTTGATCCTTTACCCACCAATGATAAACCTTCAACTTACCCTATTTTATCATGTATCTTATCAAGTAAATTTTTTTCCATCTATGCAATCTAATAAGACTATCTTTTTAACCCATAACATAAAGTTTTCATTTGATAAAAAAGAAAAAAAAAACATTATGTTTTTTAAGCTTGATTTGATATACAATACAAGACTTTTGATTAACTTTATATCTGGAATGCAACCAAAAGTCCGATGTTGATTAGAAAAAGTAAAAATTATGAGTAAGTTTATATATTCAAGGAAGGAGAGATACACGGAGAGTCTTTGATTTTTTTTCCTAAAAAAATACAAATGTCACACAGTTTAAGATAAATACATCACAAAATGTCCCTTAGTACCTCAAACGTCCATGTCAGCACTTCGTTAGTGACATTAAGGAAAGTTTGACTATAGAGATGTTTAGAACTATACTTAGATGAGAGACCAAACTGTCTACTTTTAAAAATCAAATATAAACAAATTCTCAAGCTTCGGACCATTTTACCCTTTTTAAATAAAATGTGTTCAACGATTGTGAAAATTGACAACATTTTCATAATAGAGGGATCCATACCATTTACAAATGTCTCTCCTTTGTTTGCATACACCGCCAACACGTGATTCTATACTCCCATCCACTTATTTATTCATTTATTTTCCCTCTCATTAAAAATCAAAAAAGAAAAAAAAAAGGTGATAGTGAAATGTGGTTTACTTAAATATCTTATCTAGTGAGTGGTTCTAGTGTAAGGGCATTTTCGGAAGCCTATTTCCAAAATAATTTTAACATAGGACATGTATACATCTTTCTAGTTGTTCTTGTCTCTTTTTCCTTTTTAGCTTTCTAGAGGATTGATTATTATTTTCTTATATAAATGAAATTATATATATATTTTTTTTAAATTATAAAATTGTAAATAGCGATCACAATATACACAAAATAATATTAATTTTGTTACAAGTAATTTCAAATTATGAGAGGGAATAGGAGCACCAATAAGAGTTAACCCATGTGTTTTGTTTTCTCATTATTGACCATTGAGTGTATGTCTATATATTCAAAAATAAAGAAAAAAAACAATTATATCTTTTGAGGCCATGAACATTAAGGATTGAAGATCATGTTATGAGTCACGAGAATCAGCTCAAGATGTGACATGAGAGGTTTTGGTACTCAGCTCAAGTTGAACCGGCCTTAGTGCATGAAGCACGTGGTCCTAACTCGGATGCATGCTAATAACTCCTTGAACAAAACCTAGTTCAAAAGATATAATCTAAATCATATCAATTTTAATAATATAATCTAATAATTTAGACTAACAAAATATCTCACACTCAATCAACGATATATCAAGAAAATATTTATGGTATATACTATTAATAAAAATATATCAGAAAGTAAACTAAGTAATTAAACCGTTAATAGTATAACCAACTTGAGTTTGATTTAGTAATAATTGACATAAATCTCTGACCAAAAAATTATAAGCTCGAATCTCCAACTCGAATGATAATAAAAATACATAAATTATTAATATGAGATAATATTATGTTGTATATAACAAATGTGTGAATGCAAATGTAGATATAAAAGCATTGTTTGGAAGCATTTGTATTTAATGAGATATTTTGGGACCATGGAAAGGATAAGGTAAATGGGTACGTGTTATATGGCCTATGGGTTTATTTAATTGTCATCTCTCTCCCCATTAGGTTTCAGCTAATATCCACTTAACTACTTAATTAACTAATTAATTATGACTTGGAAATACATACTCAAAGTACAAATTGTCCATTTGTTTGAAATAAATTTAAAATTTCGAAATCTAAACCTCAAATTAATTAATCACATTTTCATCGTATCATCTCTCCAATGCATATGGCTCACCATGGATAAAAGAACTATTTCAACATGGTCTTTAAATACAACTTCAAAAAAAGCTCGAAACATCGCTTGCAATGGCTTACCTAATTACAAGAATCACAATTCTTCTCTTCTTGATTTCCATCTCAATTCCTTCCATTTTCTCCCACCCATTCGATCCTCTTTCCGAACTCGAAATTGAAAAAGTGGCCTCCATTATCAAATCAAGATCCAACCTCATAGACATCAAATTTCACTATTTTGGCATCCACGAGCCGAGTAAGCCAGCCGTCCTCTCATGGCTCGCCAACCCCCGCTCCCCGCCGCCGCCACGCGAGGCCTTGGCCGTCGTACGCGCCGCCGGGGAGACTCACGAGTTCGTCGTCGGTCTCGACAGCGGCAGGATCCTCTCGACGCGTGTGTACGACGGCACCGGGTTCCCGACCCTGAGCATCGAGGAGCAAGAGGAAGCCATAGAACTGTCGTTGAAACACGCGCCGCTGGTGGCCGCCATTGAGAGGAGAGGGCTAAATTTGTCGGAGATCGTGGGGTCGGTGTTCACGATCGGGTGGTACGGGGAGTCGGCGCGTGAGACGAAGCGCGTGGTGAAGGTGTTGTATTTTTACGGGGAGAATTCGGTGAACGTGTGGGTGAGGCCGGTGGAGGGGATTGAGACGGTGGTGGATCTTGATCGGATGGTGGTTACGGAGTTTAAGGATCTTCGGGTTTGTGTTATGCCAAAAGTCGACGGTACGGACTACCGGAGTTCGGGAATGCGGCCGCCGTATGTGGCGGAGACGAACCCGATTACGGTTCAACAGCCCAAGGGTCCGAGTTTCGTCATTAGAGGCCATACCCTCAGGTTTAATCCGTTTCAATTGAGATATAAAAAACAAAAACAAAGGAAATACTTTTAACTCATTAATAATACTTCTCACCATCATTCAATTTTGACAATTAGAAAGAAATATAAGAAATTTTTTTTAAAAAAATAATAAGTTGGTAATGACAAGAAATCTTTTTACTGGCGAGGAGTAAGTATTTGAAAAAAAATTAACTAATTTATTTGACAACTCAATATTTGTTCGTAGTTTTTTATTATTATTCTCTCCTAATTGTCAAATATTTAATGATGTTAAGGAGGTCATTTCTCTTTAAGGAGCCAAGTTTTTTTTCTCAAGTATTTTTCTAAAAATGATTTCTCGTGGAAGGTTAGGACCAACTTCGGTACCATTATCATTAAAAAATTGATAGGTAATTATTTTTTTTTAAGTTTCTATTTTCCTATTTTCATTTGTAGTTGTAAAATATTTAATAGTGGTTTGAATAAGGTTGATGATCATGATTCGTCAGGAGCTAAGTATTTTTTCTTTCTTTAAACAAAATTATAAAAATACCCTAAACTTTATCCTTTATTTTAAAAATACTCATATTCTTTCTAAAGTTTCAATATGTAATATTATCCTTCATCTTCACTAGCGTTTCAAATATATTTTAGCAAACATTCATTAGTATTTTTAACAGAAATTGACATGATAGAATTTGGAACTACAAGACAATTATTGTGACGACTTATCTTATACTGATCACCATTAAATGTTTGACAATTAAGAGATATAAATGTAAATTTTTTTTTTAATAAAAAAACAACCTAACTATTTTCCTTTTTCCTGGAAAAAAAAACCTTCCAATTTTATACTTATCTTAAAAATACTTGCATCCTTTAAAAATTTCAATATTATCCTTACTTTTCATAAACGCTTCAAAAATATATTTGAGTAAACATTTATTAATATTTCGAACGGTAAAATTATCGTGAGAGTATTTAGAACAACATGACAAATAAATCGTATAAATTTAACTAATTAAGTAAAAAAAAGAGAAGAAATGTAGAAGCAATTATTGTTTTCGAAGCAATTATTGTTTTCAATATTTCATAGTCAGGTTGTTCTTTTCACGATTTTCTTCCTCGACTTCTCTATGGTTTTCAAAAGGTCCAATATCTAGAATAAAATTTTCAAAATATTGAGACATGGTAAGAAATAAAAGCATACGTTAAAAGTGTTTTTGTTTTTGTCATTTAGCCTTATTTTTGACGAAAAGGAAGATTCAAAAAATTTTGTGTACCACTTCCAGCTGGGCGAACTGGGATTTACACGTGGGATTCGACATGAGAGTGGGAATTGTAATATCTTCAGCCTCAATATACGACTTGGACCAACGTAAGAAACGGCAGGTTCTGTACCAAGGCCACATCTCCGAGCTGTTCGTCCCCTACCAGGACCCAACGGAGGAGTGGTATTACCGGACTTTTTTGGACGCCGGCGAGTTCGGCATGGGCTCCTCCGCCGTCCCCCTCGAGCCCCTCCACGACTGTCCCGCTAACGCCGTCCTCTTCGACGCCTACTACGGCGGTCCGGACGGCAACCGGGTCAAGCTGCCCAATGCCTATTGCATCTTTGAGAAGTCTGCGGGCAACATTGCCTGGCGCCACACCGAGAGTGCAATTCCCGGAAAAAAGGTACGGTCCATTTCATACCGGTTTATCAAGTTTGACCATTAAGAGAGATAAATAAAGAAAGAATAATGAGATATCAATTTGTCAATCGTGATAACGACAATATCTAGTCACACAAAACAAAGTATCACGTTGACTGAGAAGAGAGGTGGTCAATAAATATATAAGAGATAATTATCTCAATTGATACCCGATCTTTTGGGTGGAATAAAAAAATAAAATGACGAAGGCTATATCTAAAGCCGACGGTATATGAGATATCGTTGTTTGAGAAATACAAAAAATATTTAACAACGAGATAAATATAAAAATAAAAAATAATGAGATATCATAGTGCCACGGGTGACAGATAAGTAACTAAATATTTGTTTTTAATTTTTTTATTTAATATGGCTTTTACTGTTGTTTATGCAAGTATATGCACAACAGTGTATTTCAGATTGCAGTTCGAACTCGGCCTCCGGACCGATCTGAATACTTGGGCGGACCTGATCGCGGAGTGAGGTCCTCTACTTATGGGTGGTAGTCCCGCTAATCTCGCGACGGTTACACCCGGTAATCTCGGGACCGTCGGTTACACCCGATAATCTCGGGACCGACGGTTATACCCGATAATCACGCCGCTGACAGTAGTTCACATCGGCCCCCACCGAGCTTCCCGGTAGGTCGGACCTTAGCCAGGTTCACCTCGGCCCTCATACTTAGCATCTGTCAACGCTAGTGGTGGTGATCTCGGCCGTCCGAGCTGGACATGACTCATGAGTCATTTTGGAGCACCAATAGGGGTCCTCCACGTGTCCAGGGTATTCTCTTCCCCAAACAACTGTTTTTTTTTATTTTTGGTGGTTTGATGTGATTTTTGCAGATAAGAGAGGTGAGGCCAGATGTGAGCTTGATGATAAGGATGATAGCTGTGATTGGCAACTACGATTACATTTTGGATTGGGAGTTCACGAAAAGTGGATCTATCAAATTTAAGGTCAATTTCTTAATCATAACAAAATTTAACAAAATTTATATTTCAGTACTCTCACTTAAAAAAAGAAAAAAATATTTGATCTCTAGATTTAAAAAATAATCACTTTAGCACCTGAATTAGTAATTCTGATGTATTTTTCGGTATCAAATATTATAAGATCATACAGTTTTTTCACGAGATTAGTTGAAGTATACACAACCTGACCTGGATACTCATAGGTATAAAAAAAAAATATAAGAATTGAGTACATGGAAAAGTTGTAGTCTTTTTTCTTTTTATTTGTGGACAAGTTTCCAAATGTATATGCTAATTACTTTTAAGCTATACCCGCTTTGGTAATAAAAAAAATTATTGTTTTATCGTAACATATTCTTATCATATTCCAACTTTTTTATATTTCGAGATTACAGTAAAAATGAAATTCAATTTTTATGTTTAATATATCTGTAAATTTTATAAAATGTCAAATACGACCAAAAAGAAAAACACAAAAAAAAATTCAATAAATTATTTATATGTTTAGACACGATCCTGAAAATTCATGGATTTGTTAGACGATTTTTAAAATTGGAATGTGTATTAATACATCTTAGAGATATAATGAAACTTAGGAATTGACTATTTTTTTGTCACGTTTATATAATACAATATAGGTGAGTTTAACGGGGATAATGGAAGCGAAAACGACAGCGTACAAGCACACGAGCGAGATAAAGGAAGAAATCTACGGTGCATTAGCCGCCGCAAACACAATCGGCGTCAACCACGACCATTTCATCACGTATTATCTCGATCTGGACATCGACGGCCAGGATAATTCCTTTGTCAAATCAAAATTAAAGAGCTTCAAATCCGACGGCTCCACGCCCAGGAAAAGCTACTGGTCGGTGGTGGATGAGTTAGTCCACAACGAACTCGACGCCAGACTCCGGCCGACCGAACCGACCGAGTTCAACATCGTGAACCCGAATAAGGAGACTGCCATAGGAAACAAAGTTGGATACCGGCTCATCCCCGGACCGGCGGCACCGCCGCTCCTTTCCGACGACGATTTTCCGCAGATTCGAGGGGCGCTCTCTGATTACAATATTTGGGTCACGCCTTATAATCGGTCCGAAAAATGGGCCGGCGGAATGTACGTTGATCGCAGCCGTGGTGACCAGACTCTCAAGATTTTAACAGAAAGGTACGTAAAATAGTTGGATTTTTTTTTGTTTGGACCAACTTGGACTACTTAAAGTTGATGGACTTCCTGTCCGCACGATCAGAAATTAAAAAATTGTTTAATTATCAAATATTTAATGACGATGTTAAAGGATAAGTTACAACTTTAAAGTCGAATTTTTTCCTTTTTTTTTAATTTATAAAAAATAGCTAAATTATAAAAAAAAAAGAAGAGAGGAAGAAAAAAACCCTTAAAATTTGCTCTTTGTTTAAAAATATTAAAAACTTTAAAAACTAGACTTTGTTCCAAAAATACCCTTTCCAAGTTTAAACACAGACTTTGAATGAAATTTTGAGGTAGTGAATTAATGTTCAAATTTTACCCCTAAAGTATTATTATTCATCTTAAAGTATTATTATTCATCTCTTGCCAAGAGAGTTTGATTATTCATTCCCTATCCAATTTTGCTATAATTTTTCTTTTAAAGAGAAATATTGTCGTAATGACTTCATATAGGAATGTTTGAAGGCAAGTTTTCACGTTAACAGTCACATCCTTCTAAATTTTGGCACATAAATCTTCAATTTTAAATATTAACGAATATTTTCTCCAAGGGTATTTTCTAAGTCGCAAAGGTGTAGTATATATAAAAGAAATATTTATTGAGAATTTGTATGCAAATTGGGAGAGCAGGAACAGAGACATCTCCAACAAGGACATTGTGTTGTGGCACACCATAGGGTTCCACCATCATCCAACTCAAGATGAATTTCCGATAATGCCCACCCTCAGTGGAGGCTTCGAACTTCGGCCATCAAATTTCTTCGAGAGGAATCCCATCCTCAAAATGAAAGCTCCTTAAACTCCACCGCCGTGTCCGCCGCCGCATATGACCAGTGTCTTCGATCAGTGCCTTTGTCTTTTCTAGTTTCATCAATAATTGTACCCTCTTGCTGTGGTACTTGTATCTCATGCATGCATTTAGTTAAGGTTTGAATGAGGATGGAGAGAGAATTCTCTGTAGCTACCTTTCTTTTTATATTTTATTGAGTAGTACTTTGTTGTCCAGAGAATCTCACAAGAGAATGGCCACATCATCACTGAAAATAAAACATCCAAGAATATCAAATTTACAGTTGCGCCATCGGGCGGGACAACATTTTTATTAATACGAGAGCTTAGGTCTAAAGTAGTGTTGTGCTTTAGAGGCTGGAGTAAAAGGATAGGAGAAAAGGTACTGTGGTTTTATAAGTGGATAAAAACTTATATAGATAGATCAACATGAGCGTATTCAATTAACCTTGTGCATGATCAATTGTACAGACAGTAAGGTTTAGTGAAACCATAACTATATTGAAAACTTTATAGCTAATTATTAAAGATGAAGTTAAAATTTACCTCATATCCTCAATTCGTAATTTTAATAGTAGTTTTTTCATTGTTATATAATTTGTTATGGTGTAAATCTGCAAGCTTCCATGGTCCAGGAATAATTTTTCTATTACTACGGAGTACATACTCTTAATGTTGTTGCATGGTTGACAAATAATAAATGGGACGGAGTATGCACTATAGAAAATTTTTCATACTCTTGTAGTACAAAAAAATTTTCTCATATTGAAGTTCTACTATCATGCAAACATCACTGTTCCGTGAACGTAAATTGGTAAAGTCTCTTAAATATCCTCTCAAATAAATTGTCATAATTAATGAGTTCAGAAGCTATCAAAACTCCATTCCATCTCCATTATGCAAAATGTATTCAGTTACATATAATTTAAAAATAACATATAGATAAATGAAAATAAATGTACGGTGTACTGAGAGGACTTCTTTGATCAGTGACCTGTCTTTTCTACTTTCTCATCAATAACTGTACCCTCTTGCTGTGGTACCCTTGTATCTCATGCATGCATTTAATTAAGGTTTGAACGAGGATGGAGAGAGAATTCTCTCTGGCTTTCTTTCTATGTTTTATTTTAGTACGCTTTTGTCCAAAGAATCTTATAACAGAGTCGCCACATGACCACTGAAATTAAAGGACCAAAGCCAAAGAATAAGAAATTTACACTTGTGCCATCAAATTTGTTGGGAGGATATTGTCTCAAATCCCATTGGACAGAGAATGAGAAAGATTCATCAGGGACAAAAATGAGGGACAACATGTCTATTACTACGAGAGTTTATATATCTAAAGTACTGACAAAAAAAGCACACAAAGGTATCTAGCAACGAGAATCTATTTCCGAAGATTTAACTTATAAAAGACCTTGAGTACATTCCATTTTATATATAAAATGTAGTAAAGAAATAATTTGTTATAGGGAGTTTAGAATCCATGTTTTTATATTGGACTTATGAACTAAAAAACACTATCCAAGCACTTTGTGAATCTCAGTGATTATTACATTTTTTTACTCATCACTGAAGTTCAGCCTGAGAACAAATAATTTTTTTACTAGATATGGAGTGTGTTTAGGGACCTTTTATGAGTTAATCTTTAGAGATGGACTCTCGATACCAGATATCCATCTATACTTTAGTAAAAGTATAGCAGAAAAGGTAAAAATCTATATAGTTACTCTGCAACATGATCGGCAAGACATAAATAACTTTGTGCAGGGTGAACTCAACATATTTAAGGTTTAGTGAAACCATACCATATTAAAATTTTAAATAAACCATCTCAAAGAAGTAAATTATAAAAAGAAGTTATATTAAACATATATATTCATTTATTTTTTACAAGGCTTCAACAGAACCCTAAAACAACATTTCATTTGAGTTTCATAATTAGGTTAAGTCGATCCCCATAAGAACAATACAATCTTAAGAGAGGTCATTTCAACAAAGGATTTCTATCAAAATAATTAGCTGGTCGGAGCTCATATCCGCCGTGGAGGGCGGCCATCGTCGGAAACTCTTTTTGAGAAGGGCTGTGATGGAACCCCACCGTGTACCATGAAACAATATCTTTATTCTCAATTCCCCTATTCTTGTAAAAATAAACCCAAATTCAGATGGGACAACGAGGAATTCCCAAAATAAATAGTTATAATGGCTATAATGGCTTTGTTATGGTTCAATTCTCTAATTTAATTTGGATAGATGTACCTTTGAAACAGACCGACCCAAATTATTTTATAATTCTCTTTTTTTTTTATACCCTTGGAATAAAAATGAACTTGATTTTAGAAAAAATATTAATTCTAGGAACAATTATGTGCGGGGTAAAGATGTAAATTGACCCCTTTGACCATTATTAAGAATTAAAACTTATGACCATTTTTATTAGAGGGCAATGAATTTGACATTTTCCAATCCAAATAGCCTTTTTAACCCTTGATATGAAAATCCTAACGACTTCTTTTGCAAATTTCCAACTCCATCACTATTATTTAAACAACTACATGATAAATTGATTTTTGGAAAATGTGGATTAAACATTGAAATAAGAAAAATTATGACAGAAATCTATTATACATAATAACGTGTTTAGGAGTGATTATCACTTATTTTTTATTGATCATGTTTGCCAAATTAGAAAATTGATTTAAGGAAATCTTTAACATTATAAATTGATTTTTAAAGTATCATTTGGATGATGATTTTGGAAAATCAATTATACTTAATTTATTTTAAATAACTTATTATATCATCACTCTCAAACAAACCTAAATGTTTCAAAAGTTAAGGTAGGAGTAACTCAACGCTTAAGACATCTCGCTTCTTTTTTCAAAAGTACCCCATGGTGACAGAGATAAACTATCCACCCGACCCAGTTGAAATTCGACACGTAAACGACATAGTAATAATCCTAAAGTTAACGGGCCCTTCGATTTCCCTGAAGCCTTCATCAATGGCCGCCCGACTTCGTGGCTAATTCAACTATCCTTTTACGGAAACCTTTAGTTTCTTTACGGGCTTCTTCGTATCGTGACTTCTCGTCATGGATCTCCATTGTTGGCTTATCCGACCTTCGAGAAACTTCTGAAAGTAGCTCTTCCAATGGGACCTCCTCCATTTTTAATTCTCTAGTCAAACCCTAAACCCTAAACTCTATTTATACAACTCCATCGCCATCTTCCCACTGCCCACTCTTTTACTTTACTATCTAATTAGTAAATTTTCTATTTTTTACTTTTTAACTCTACCTTCCATCCTCTTTATTAATTTTTTAATGTTAAAATAATAGTTTGGTCCTATACTTTATTTATCTTTATTTATATCTATATACTTTTAAAAGGTTCATTTTTTATTTTTAAAAGTAACTATTTTGGTCTCTTAATTATATTATTTTTTAATCTCATTTATATCATAATTTAAACACAACATTACATTCAATATATTTCTTAAAATGCAACAATGACTTTATATTAAAAGATTTCTATTACAGGTAGAATTCATGTAAAATTTTTGAAAATGTGGATCAAAACGGTCACTCAGTACAAGTTCGAGTACAGAGACTAAAATAAACTAAAATAAGAGTATAAAATCAAACTACTATTTTAACAGTTTCTTTTTTATTTAAACCCTCAAATTTGCTTCCTCTCCCCTCCAGCTATCTGTCCCTCTAACGGTCTTCTTTGTAGATTTTGAGGGTTGAAATTTAAAATAAAGTAAAAAAAAAACCCTACGTATTCAAATAAAATTAAAAATAACTACAATTTTGGTATTTCCCTACAAAATCTTAAAAAATCTACCCGAAATCTGGAGGGATGGCCAAATTAAAAATCTACCATCATTTTGGAAGAATAATTAGTAACACGCATTTTTAACCAACCTATAAATAAAATTAAAATGTTAATTTAATGATGCAATAATGTTTTTAAGGAAAAGATCAATGTTTGACTTTAACCCAAATTTAGAATTAACTAATTAAGTTAAATTATTTTTAATCAACCACATTATATCCGTTTCCCTTTCTAATTTGGATATAATTAAGGAAGGAAATCGTTTATGTGATATTGAAAAAGAAGGAAAAAAAAAAAACCCTAACATCAAATCCCTCA